TCCCCCCCCCCCAAAAAAAATCATGCAACCATGAATACTTTCTTCTCATTTTGATTTTTACAACCTGAACCCAAAGGCACTTGTGTTGTTGGGTCTTCTGATCGGGGGGATAACAGCTTCTTTTCAGTTGCTCTTTTCTCAGGCTGTTGCTTGATGGGTCTCTGCTTTCTGTTTCAGGTGCCCGGGGACAGCGAGAAACAGTGGAAGCCAGCCCTGATTGTGCTGACTGAGAAGGACCTTCTAATTTATGACAACATGCCACGGAGGAAGGAAGCCTGGTTCAGCCCAGTTCACACGTACCCTCTTCTTGCCACCAGGTAGCCATGGTTTTGTGTCCGGGTATGATGTGTGGTCTGTTTGAAACTATTTTAATCAATTATAATTATTTCAGCATATTATGATATTACTGCTTCCTCTTGCAATAAGAGCTGAGAGTTCCTCCAGAATATAGCCACACGTTTTTAGCCGTTTACTGATAGATTATTATTTATGACCAAACACAGGGCAACACAAAGCCAGAGAACAAACGGCTTCTCCATCAAGAAGGAACAGTGCCATCTGTGATATGGTCCCAGCCTAGTCACCTTCCTGGGTCTCCATCCCACTCCCTCTGAGATGAACTATACCAGTGTGTTTACAGTCTTGGTGTTCAGGTAGAATTAAGAAAGGGACTTCACTTGGTGGCACAAGCAATGTCATGTGGGAATGTCCCATTGTGCTCTTTAAAGCTCACTCAGCGGGAGACCCCATAACAAGTTCTTCTGCAGTTGTGTGATGCTTCCCGTGGAAGTGGGGCTGCCAGGGTCCGTCTGTTTCTTAGCACCTTCAGTGCACATTTATTGTTCATGTGACGTTATCCTAATACATCATATGCTTACCCCCCCTTCTTTAAAGCCCTATATCCTGAGCACGAAAGCACATCAAACCAGTCTTGCCTTCAGACCTGGTTTCTGTTGAGAGCTCTTTCTGTATGTGCCTTATGATAATGGGTGCAGTTTTCATTACTTCTGTTACCTCTGTTTCTCTACCTAGAAGCTATGTGTATTAACATAATGTTTGTGGCCCCCGCTGGCATAGTGCCTGGTAATTTTGGGCCCTTAAATGTCTGTTGAATGAATTATTGAACAATGTGGGGCAAACTCTGGAAGGAGTTTGGTCCAGTGGATGCAGCATAGTGGACTGAGGTTTGGGGGCGTCTGTTCTGAGCAAGAGGTAGAACCAAGATGGGTTCTCCGTTCTGAAGGGATTGAGATGCCTAACAGGTTACAGTCAAGGCTCAGGTGCAGGGAAGAGGATGAGACTCAGTAGCAGAGCAAAAGTACCACAAACTCAAAATGGCAATAGTGAATAGAGCTGAAACTCCCTAAAATCCCTCCTACTTCCACTCATGGTTGGTTATGGAGAACAGCAGAAGTAACCTGAAAATGCCAATTATTGGCCCCAGAGGTGAACAGAGGAAGCCTTCCGGGGCTAGGAACCAGGCCTAGATCACTTAGATATTAATCAAGTAAATAAAATGAAATAAAACAGTAATTTAATTTGAGTCTCCTAAGCCTCAGAAATTTCAGCAGGCGAGCTATTCAAACACTACTGATGTTTACAATAAAACCTCAATGATCAGAATCCAAGCATCCTGAAATGTTCCTGCGAAGATTCAGGCTATGTCTTGGGGTTCATTCAAATTCAGCGCAATCCCCATCGCTTTCTTTTTTTTTTTTGCGGTATGCGGGCCTCTCACTGCTGTGGCCTCTCCCGTTGTGGAGCACAGGCTCCGGACGCGCAGGCTCAGCGGCCATGGCTCACGGGCCCAGCCGCTCCGCGGCATGTGGGATCTTCCCGGACCGGGGCACGAACCCGCGTCCCCTGCATCGGCAGGGGGACTCCCAACCACTGCGCCACCAGGGAAGCCCCCAGCCCCCACCACTTTCTGCAGTTAATATCCGTTTTCCTCATCCATGGGCACTGATGTTCAGACTCTGAGACATTCCTGTAATTGAAACCACACAAAGATTAGACCACAATCGTGGTCTTCCAGTTACTGAGAAGATAAACTGGACTCATGCCTCTTGGAACGGTTTTCAGGAAAAAACGTTTAAAGAAGGTAATGTTTCTGGGTAATCCTCAGGCAACTTGAAAATAAAACTTACCCTAACATGTAGCTTTTGCCTCACCGTTTCTCAGCATTCTGACCTAGTGGAGGCTGCTGTTTCATTCCTGCGTGCATGCACTTATTCATTCAGGATTTAAAATACTTAGTTCCTCAATCACACTGGCCACATTTCTAGGACTCAGTAGTTGGGGCTAATGGCTACCATTTTGGACAGCACAGATCTACAACATTTCCATCATCACAGGAAGCTCTGTTGCACAGCACTGCCCTAAAGCATACATGACTTCCTCAGAATTTGTCCCAATTTGGGCAAGTGACTGGACTTGCCCATTCCCACAGCAGTCAGTCAAAAGCTCAGGCTGCCTGATGGGATTTCATCCTACAGGCTTTTCAGGCTGTCGGCGCAAGCAGGGCACCTGTGGCTCAGGGCACTCATTGAAGAAAATCATAGATATGAACCCATAAAAAAAAGCAAAGCCCCCAGAAGGAGAGATGGGTGCACAGACACAGTAAAGGGTATCTGAGTAGGTTTGGGTGGGGCACCTGTCATAGGCTCAGAGCCATAGGGATGTCAGGTCTGGATTATGAGCAAAACACATGAATAGCCTAAAACCATAAGCTTGCATCCAATATGGAAATAGAAAATGGAAACCCCATTCAGTGCAAACGGCTCATTTAGAACAGAAGATGCGACATTTTAAAAATTCAATGTCTGCCACCTAAATATAAAGGAGATGTAGCGGGGATACTTGACTTCTCATCTCGCTACCCCTCTTCCAAATTACTGACCTCTGCACTGCAAAATAATTCATTATGATGTGCGTATATTAGCCATAGGAGCAATGATAAAATTAGGTAAGATGTTAAGGCAGCGCTGGCAGTCCATTCTTACTTCAGCCCCTTGAGCTAGTAGGTAAGGAGCTGTCTGTCCTTGAGCAGCAGCCTGGAGATGCAGGAGCTGAACTTCCCATCCTAGTTTTGCTCCCGCGAAAACAGTCTTACCCCGCCTGATCACTTCACCTCCCTCTTCTGAGTCCTCATCTGTTAATGCGCTAGGCAGAATGCTGCCCTCTGCCAAACCCAGGGAGAGATGCACTGTGGGGAAATGGGTTTTTCACTGACCTTTTGGCTTGTTCATCGGCTACCGTGGTTTGCACACATTGGTCGTGGTCAGCTCCCCTCCTCGACCCTGTGGGTGTGTCTAGAAAAAGACTTTTGGCAAACAAACAAACAGCGAGGAAAACGACCCCTCCCTTCCCCTATATAATCTCACGGGGGGAGATGTAGCCCCTTTGGAGCTCCAGGCTGTGAAGCAGCGTTCAACCCAGCTGAGGACCGAAACTCGTGTGTCCTTGCAGGTAAAGCTGGTTCTCTGAGGTGGGAGGCTGGGCTGAGGACGGTTTAGAGAAACCACCGTTAGAAGCGACAGAAGAGTCCAGGGAAACTCTGGATCCTTGCATTGTAGCAGCTACCCCAGTACCTCCGGTGGCTTCTTCCCCGACCGTGTGTTGAAGGTCATCAGGTGACCCTTCCATTTACGTTCCATGTGTTCCAGGCAGTCACGTGTGGCGCTCTGCCCTCGATATATGAGCATTTGGGCACACAGGCTGTCTAGTGGCATTATTTGTCTTTGAGGGCATTTCTCTAAGGAAGGGGAGTCATGTCTTTTTAATATTTCTTTTGAAAACCTTTTATTGAGGTATAATTTATAAACAGTACTGTACATGAATCTTAAAGGTATGGTTCAATTAATTTTTATTTGTGGATACAGAGCCACGTCTTCTAAAATTTTATTATCGGGTAGGGTGTCTACTAATTAATCATCCTGGGTAACATTATCACAAAGGCCATGGTAGTGCCATTTGCCAACAGGTAGACCCAGCTGGTAATAAGCCAGTGGCTGACCTTTGTGGAGGGAGCATAGATCAATGCCAAGGGCTTTACATGGATTCTATCTGAGTTTGCAAAACTTATCCAATTTAAGAATCACCTGGCTGTTGATTAAGGATTCTGGTCCCAAGGCCCTGCCCTGGAGATTCTGGCTGAGCAGGCCAGGGTTAGGAGTCAGGAGTCTGTTCTGTTGTTGTTGCTGTTGTTTAAGAAAGCAGCTCCTTTTTTAAAAAATTTATTTATTTTATTTTTGGCTGCGTTGGGTCTTCATTGTCGCTTGCAAGCTTTCTCTGGTTGCGGCGAGCAGGGGCTACTCTTCGTTGCAGTGCACAGGCTTCTTATTGCAGTGGCTTCTCTTGTTGCGGAGCATGGGCTTCAGCAGTTGTGGCTCTCGGGCCCTAGAGCATAGGCTCAGTAGTTGTGGCGCACGGGCTTAGTTGCTCCGCAGCATGTGGGATCTTCCCAGACCAGGGCTCGAACCTGTGTCTCCTGCATTGGCAGGCAGATTCTTAACCACTGCGCCACCAGGGAAGCCCAGGAGTCTGTGTTTTTAACAAGCATCAAGCAAGTGTAGTCCTCAGGGATACCACATTAACCCTCACAACCCTACAAGGTTTAAGTTTTATTCCGATTTCACAAAGAAGTAAACTGAGGAACTAAGAGGTTAAGTAACTTACCCACAGTCATACAGCTGGTGAGAAACAGACCTGAGATTCTGCTTCTGAATCCACCTTCTTTACCACCATTCTCTGCAGCGTCCCAGGAGCATGTTTCTTATTCCCTGAAGTTTTGGTGGCTCTTAGAATCTGCTCAAAGCTTTCCTTAGCTCTCCTAACAACTTAATCATGAATAGATGGCCACTCAGATCCCCCAACAGAGTGAGGACAGAGCTGGGGATGCTCTCAGAGACCTGGAGTTTCTACCCAGGACTTAGACCAAGAGTTCTCAAAGTAGGTCCCAGACCTCAAATTCTCCATCCCACTTCAGACCAATTAAATCAGAAACTTCTGAAGTGGAGCCCAGCCCATCTGTGAGTAAACAAGCCCTCCAGGTGTTTCTGATGCAGGCTAATAAGAACCACTGGTTTAGAAGATTCCTGGAAGGCTCTGCTGCCTTCCAGGGTTCATGGTAGGAAGGAAATGCCATAGCAAGGACTGGGTTCTTTCTCCTCTGTGGTTCTTCGGAAGCACTGTTTTGCCTCAAGCTGTGATGACCAATGATGAATTAGTTCAAAGGGTGTCCTGGATCCATGTGCTCACAGAGTCATCAGCAGCTCCTGGAATGTACAGTATGGCTGCCCTGCTTTTTCACCTTATA